CTCCTCAGGTTTAGAAAGTTCTCCTCCTTAAGAGAAGAGTAGAAATCCAGCAGAGATCCTGACTTAAAGTGCTCTGCCAGTACTGCATCAGACTGCAGGTCAATGAGTTCCAGCTGCACATCACTGGGTGCATCATCCACACTGCAGGTAAAGGGAGAGGAAATCATGTGCATTTCATCCTCGATTGTTCTGAAATCTTCAAAACGCCTTGAAAACTCACCATGTAATGCTCCTAACATGGATGAGTACCTGCTGAGGTGATCAGCTGATGGTGTGACTTGGTTCAGGGTTTGCATGCGAGTGAGAGTGTTGCTCTCCAGTTGACTTGAAAGAAACTGCAGCTTTCTCATGAAGGCCTTCACGAGGCTGTGCATTTCATGAACAAAAAGGCCCTTGCCTTGCAGTTTGGTGTTCAGTTCATTAATCAGTGCAGTCACATCAACAGCAAATGCAAAATCTGCCATCCATCCTCATCTGAGAGCTCTGGAATGTCTTTGCCTTTCCTCTCGCAAAACTCTCGAATCTCTGCTTTCAAGTCCCAAACCCTCTTCAGCACTTTCCCCAGGCTGAGCCATCTGACAGCTGTGTGGAGTCCTCCAAAAGAGCCACAAACTTTCTGTGATTCATTGCCCCGCACCCTGATGAAGTTCATTATTTTAGTAACAACATCAGTAACATGGTTGATTTTTAGCACTGACTTGCACAACACATGTTGGTGTATAATACAATGCAAAAACACCAATTTTTGATCTGCATCGATTTCTGTCACTTTATCTTGCATGCGTTTCAAAAGTCCGACATTTTTCCCTGTAAGATTTGGACAACCGTCTGTTGTGACACCTGACAGTCTCTCCCATTTCAATCCCAGAGTGTCCTTGCACGCATTTACCTCTGTAAAAAGATCACTCCCTGTCGTTGTCCCTTTCATCGACTGCATTGCTGCCAGCTCCTCTATGAGCTTGAAGTCCGTTATCCCCGGACAAATACGAGCAGCTGGGCTGTGTCGCAGACATCACAGCTCTCGTCTAAGGCCAATGAGAAAAAGTCAACACTTGCCACTTCACGTTGCAGCTGAAGCTCCAGGTTCCCCGCAATGTCCTCAATCCTCCTGGTCATGGTTCGCCTGGACAGCGGGATTTGCTCAAATGCGCCTTTTTTCAGGACATATTAGTGCGGCAGAGTCCACCATGCACTCTTTGACAAACTCTCCCTCCGAAAACGGCTTGCTGCTTTTAGCCATTTTGTGAGATATCACAAAGCTGGTCCTGGTTGCTGCATCCCTGGATGTGTGAAGCTTAGTAAAAAAGCCTTGCTGCTTTTGCAACTTTGCTAGCAAAGCTTCGGATGTCCGTGCCCTCTCAGCATCAGACAAGTTCTTGTATTTTTCCGAGTGTTTCTTGTCGTAATGTCGACTCAAATTGTAGTCCTTAAACACGGCAATCTCCTCCCCGCAAACCAAACACACGGCTTTACCTCCGACTTCAGTAAAAAAATACTTAGCAGTCCAATTTTTGTTGAAAATCCTGCATTCGGCATCTTTCTTTCTTTTTTTTCTTTTTTTTTTTTGCATGAGCGGACATTTCTGGGGGCTACAATCACCATGTCAACCGCGGGCACTTGTTGCTATACGTATTGCGTCATTGTGCACGTAAAAAACAACTTCAAAATAAAAGCAATGCAGCCTTATTCCATGCATGAGGTAAAATGAGAAAATACATTTATTTTGTAATTTCCAATTAACCTTATGCGGGCCGGTCAAAGTCAACCAAAGGGCCGTATGTGGCCCGCGGGCCGTAAAATGCCCAGGTTTGGTCTACATGGACTCAACAAGAGTCTAACTCTAGGACCGTTGACTTTCAGGAATGTGACCTCTCCACTACTAGACACCGCGCATTTGAAAACCAGGGTTGGGGATATATGTGTTCGATTCATGCTAGTCGCACCGGAGCGAGAGGAGTATGGTGGTATCATAGATTTGTATAACAGTAACATAGCGCAACCGAGTTGCATGCTGGCTAAAAATGTGATAGGCGCGTATGCCGGGGTAGAGGAGTTGTACATTCTGTGTATTCCTATCCACAAGCTGGTAACAGAATGGAACAAGTCTTTAACTCGCTTCCACGAATTGATTAAATGCAAAGAACTTTCGACCTCACACCGATCTCTGGAGATACGTCGCGAAACCGTAATACGGAACGTGATGGAATTGGCTTATGAGAACGTTCCTTTTGCAACTGAACACCTTTGGTTTGCTATACATTGCATCGCGTCTACGCCCAGCTTGATACAAGAGATGCTTCAATTTATAGGCTCTGTAGCGTCTGTGTTGAACGATACATGCCACAAGGGTGACGTTCAAGCTACCACTGTTCCTCGCGATCTAGAAATGCGATCGGTCCTAAAATTGTATCTTGTAGCTAAGCCATGTTCTCTGGAGATGCAGGGTGACGAACACCGTGGTGTCACCCTGAGTCTCGTTTCGGCCATGGACGAAAACAAACTGTTGAATGACTATCTCCGAAAGTCCGGAAGTTTTACTATGTGCACATGGGAACCGAATATGGTAACAACTTCCAATGTGCGCGTGCTTTACACTGGCGGTATTGTGACCACAAAACGTTTCGGAAAATGATTTCCATAGCCGAAGACACAATACTCATCAAACGCAAGGATTCAATGTTATCCGGGAACACTGGTGATTCAGCGAAGCAAATACATTGTTAACTATCGCTATTGCCATACTGACACATACGCTCCATGTGTACCATCTCGCAAGACCGACTGTCCTGGATGTACTGTGGTCGCTATCTGTATGCGGGACCCCGATCACGGGTCTGTATATTGGAGGGTTAGGCGCTGCAGCCCGTGGCCTCTACGATCAGAGCGCATCTCTGATATATCCAGATTTAGGTATATTGAGAACCACCGCTGTCTTATTTTTCATACTGTTGCTTGTGGTGTACGTGTGCACTCTGGCTCATCACAACAACTGGCTCCAAGAAACTCCCCGTACGCATCTGATGCTCACAGAAGCAACTTGTTGTACATGTACACTGTGTTTGTATTAACTTGGATAAACGTATTAGGATTCGTCAGGCTCTTTAGGTGCATATGAATGTCACCGAAGAATCTTGTGTGAGTGGGACCGTAGACGACCTGTCAAATAGCCACTCACCCATTGCGCACTTATCATGACTGTTAAACGAAAGTGAGGTTATTCACCATGGGCATTTTATGTGTATACCTAAAGTACGATCTCATAGTAAATGTTCACATAACACAATCCTTGTCATGGCTCATTGGATATAAGGTATTTTTCATCTTAGCATGTGGTAAGTGTATACCATTTCATACGCAGCTTCAACTCCTGAAAATCTATGAGACTGTCACAAGATTACAATGCTGCGCAATAGCCACTATGACTAACTCCGAGGTTGTAGCCTTGTGCAGAGAAGATCGTGCTAGCCAAATGCCTAATGCACAGGAACAATTTGTGACCGTGTTCCCATCTCCTAAGGAGATTCCGCTGATAGATTGCGACGAGGACAATCTGATACCTGTGTTTTGGAACATTTTATTTATATTGTTGTTGTCTTACAACAGCATCTGATACACTTGCCTCTGTCAAACTCCTCGCCTTTGTGGTTCGGAGCCCCTGCGTTCATTGTATACTTCGTCTCAATAAGACTGTGTCAGATCCTATGTAATACTTAAACTAAAGGTGGTAACATTATGTTTCCTTTACATCAATGGAGACCTGGTATCCCACTACAAATTTACTGACATCTGAATATGTCACGGTTCGCTAAGTGCAAGATATGCTCATGCTCTGGTTCATTAGGTGTTGCTTGCATGTGAATTTACGTGTCTAATATTGTATTATGGATTGATCAACCACAATGTTTTGTAGGTGAGCGATATGGAAAAAAGTGGTACTTTGTACAAGTACTTGTACTGTTTGGGCTAAATAAATTACGTCTGCTTGGGGAGGTGGGGTGGAGACCACATTGCTGTTAGGAGCTTGAATATGAGTGGAAACAGCAGGGTTTTTTTCTCTTCTGCTATGATCAACAGAATGAACGCTTCTTTCTTGATTTCCTGATTGTAAGTCATTAATCTAGCTCAAGCAGCCTTTACCTCCTTTTCAGCCTTTAATCTTTGTAACTCACGTTTCTGTATTTCAAGCTCCTGTTTTTGCTTTTCTTCAGAGTTGAAATTTCTCCTTTTGTTTTTCCTCTTCTAGTAACAATTAATACTCTACCTCTTTAGCTGCTAATTCTGCGGCAGCTTCTGCTCTCTTTCCAGCTACTATTGAACTTGCAGAGCATGACTTACTGGCAGTAGAGTGCTTACTGGAACACGTGAGAGAGGAACTGTAGATGGATTGAGCATACTCTGGATTAAGAAGCTCATGGAGATGTAGCTTCACATTATCACTATCATAGTCATCTATGCCAGAGAGCCTTTCTAGTGCAACCTTGATAATGTCTCTGGTGACTGATTCACAAGCATCTGTGAGTCGTCTAGTATCACTGGATGGAATAACAATTTCCCTGATTTCCATATACGACTTTATGACACTATCTTTTTCATTCTCCAATGTGTCCATGAGTGAAGCAATTTCACTGTTTATCTCTGTTACAAGCCATCTTCCCAAACTAGCTGACTCTTTAACAGATGTTACGTCTCAGGGTTGACTTGTATTTCTATTTGTGCGTGGGCGTGATATTCAGCCGCTCTTTAAACTGCCTGCACACTGTAGGAGCTGATTAGCAATCACCAATAACCTAGACTCTGATTCTGGCAAAACCAACTTTATGCAGCTCAAGGAAGACTCAGTTTACTCACAATTCATGTCCGTGAAGCTTATGTACCCTTCAGGTTAAGACCCTTGCCAGCTGTTCCTTTTATGCTGAGGAGACAACTGACATTACCTGTAGCCTAGGATGGAGGAAACACATATCAATACCTAGGGATGGCATTTACAACCAGCATCTCACCTTCGCTCGGTTACCGGCAGGAGGAGACCCCACTCGTAAATCCTTTTTTCGTTCCTCGAATCCGAGGAACTAGGTTTTATTTCACACAGAATAAAAAACAATAGTAATCCAAACGAAACCCTGACAAAGCGGGTTAAAAAGTAAAGCAACTCTTTGCCAGTAAATCGAGTCATAGCAAAGTTGAGCTGAATAAGCTCTCCAAAAATGACACTAGGTCAGATTATCACAGACAAAAAGCTCAAAGCAAAAGCTTACTTCTGTCCATCTCTATACCTCACACACTCTTCCCATCAAAAAGCCCTCTTCCAGACCCAGTAGCTCCTTTTTATTTACTATGTCCCCCCTCCCTCACAGTCATTTCTTGGTTTGCTGCTTCAGACTTCAGACTTCCTGGTCACGTGTTCCTCTTCTTGTTACTTCTCCAACGCCCCGAAGAGACCATAAATCTTGGTTGTCATGATGTCACCTTTTCTTCTCCCAGTCTTCATCCGTTCACATGTTTCTTCTTCTCAGCGCCTCCTGCATGATTCCTTTCTTCTCCTTTGGGATTACCTCATCTCTTCTCCGTAGTCATCAGTCAGCAGGGGGAGGTGTGTCCCCCTCCCTTTTTCTTCTCCAACTCGGGGGTCCGCTTAAGCCAGCTATAAATATTTCCTAGACTAGGTGTCTCCTCTGTATCTTTATAGCATTCTGGACTAAATCCACAGAGGTCAGTACAGGTTAGATCTACAACATTCATTATCTAACCATAGCAGAGTAGTGAAGGCACATCCATTATTTACAACATCTGGAGATCAGGAGTCTCCAGCCAGGACACACACACACACACACACACACGGATACACCTTGTAGAGCCTAGAATTGATTTCACATAATGAGAGACATAATCCAGACAATTCCATACATCAACAAGTCAGATTATACTCCGTACAACACAATCTGTATTGATTCGTCCACTCTATCCTTGATGGCATCCATCTTTTGTGCCAATGAATGAATCTCGGCCAAAGTTCCAAGCTTACGATTCATCTCGACAATTATGTGAGTCTGTAAATTCACAGCACGGTGCAATCCATCCCTGAGCTCCGGGAGCAGACCGATATTCCTCGACAGCTCGTTAATTTTCTGGTAAGCCAGGAACCGGAATATGCAACCTTCTCAGTGTTCTTGTGTATATTTGATAACATATTTCTTGATAAGTTGATGTTAAATTGAAGAAAAACAAAAACTATCTTAAAACTAAAATCATTTTGATATGTTATTGCACAGATAAGCTGTATTGTTGAATCCCAGCAGTATGGGATTTTTGGTTTGTTTGTTCTATTTTGTTCCTAGCAGGTATTCATTTTCTCTCTGTGGTTGAGTTCCTGCCACCACCCCCAGTTTCAGCTGCTGAACGTCATCAGCTTATCTGAAAGTAAGATTTAAAAGACCCTATCATCTTTGGTGATCTCACGCCAAAACAACATCCTTTGTTCTAATGGTGACAAAAATTTAAGCTGATCTTTAACCTGCTGACCTCTATAACTTTATTCCTGTTCCTACTTACAAAGAAACCCCTGTGCAGAGTCCTTCAGACACCTACATGAAGTTGCCCCCCCCCCACCTTCTTCAAATCTAACAAAATTGGTGTCAAACATGTGTACTACGTTTGTGCTGCAATATAATAATGTATTCATAATATGAAAAAATATGTCATAACTAGAACTGTCATGCTGGAACGAAGAAGAAACACTATATACATATTTACAAGAAAGTAACACGACATCACACCTTTCTGCATCTGATCAACACGACTCCCACACAATAGAGGCTAACGATGCAAACGAACCATGAGGAGGTAGGGAGGAGGTGTGTTGCAGATGACAGTTTCTGCTTGTCAAGTAACAACACACAGCTACAGTAAGATCGACCCTCCTATATTCATGAAACCAAAGAAGTCCAGTTGCCTTCATTCAAACCCAATTTGAATTACCATGCAGATGCCTCACTCATTCATGCCAGGTGTGTGACTGCAGGTAAACACTGGTGTTTGAAAGGGGGTTTGACCTAGGATAACCTTTGGAAACTTTTATTTATTTCTTTTCAATGACAGCAGCACAAATATTTTTTTTTCTGCTGCACAAACCTGCACAAACATTGGACACCAATTTTGTTTGGTTTGCTTAAAGGCACAGTCCGCAGGATGACGCCGTCTGGGTGAGGAGGAGGAGATTTTTAAATTCGAACGGCTGTTGCTCACTCCCCCGCCCTTCCTGAAAGAGCCGAAAGCCACACCTCCCAATGTGCACGCGCAGGAAAAGCAGAGTCAACATCGGAGCATTGCTTCTTGTAATAGAGCTGAGCTAGTGTTAGCAATGGAGTTATCTGAGGTAAGAAAGTTGTATTCAACCAGAACATTAAACACTTACTGTTTACAAAAGGCATTTTATAAAGAATATCTATAAATATATTTATATTTTAAATTACCTGTAACAGTTGGCAATCTATATTGTTAATAAAATTAATCCTATCAAATTGTTAGCATTTTATTACAAGTAACTAGCTTATTTTTAATTGCTTTGCCATTCAAGATGGGATGAATATATCAAAGCATATAAATAATTTATGTGGAAATCATGAATAAACACTGCATTCTGTGTAGTCCTCCTATAATCATGGTTGTTTTCATAGGGTTTCTGTTTATTGTTGGTTTAGCCCAAATTTTGACTAGATGTAAACCTGATCTGTGTCAAAATTGATTAATATGCAAGAGTACTTTTTATATTAGTATAATTTTTTTATTCTAATACAATTTAGAGTTCAGTGATTGAGGAATCCTCTGAGGAAGAGTTTGAACCTCCTATTGCATCCTCAAGACGTGGTGCAAAAAGGAGATGCCCACCATCATCTCAAAGCCGTGGTGCATCCAGAGGCCGTGGTGTGTCTAGAGGCCGCGGTGCATCCAGAGGCCGAAGAAGTGTGAGACACTCAGCTGTGGACCTTGGAGATGAAGATCTCTCTCGAGTTCGGAATCTTTGTTCCGAGCGAATAGACTTTGAACGTGTAAGCATAACTGTTGCTGTAGCATCTCTTTCCACTTTTGTAGCAACACATACAGAACCTGAACCCTCAGCAGGCTATTGACATCCTTACCATGGTGCTGGACAGACACTGGTGTTCTCTTTGATGTACTTGCCCTCTCTGGTCCACCTGCCACAACAGCTCCAACACCCAATCAACCTTCATGGTGTGTATGCTCCCACTGCAGAGATATACCAACTGATTTGGAAAAGAAATGCTGCCAACAGCCTCCCCAGACATGTATTTCAACTGTACCACACATGGAGGAGTTTATTCTGCAAAATTCCCTGACCCCAATGGTAACTACACTGGTTTTATTCCAAGACGATTGTAAATAAATGTATGTATTTGATATTTTACATAAGTTTGTTTTTATATATTTTTGCTTGATGCTCTAATAAAGTGTTCTAAAGCACAACTCTGTATTGCATTTGTAAAAATACCATAAATTTTAAAACTCCTGCACAACAACAAAAAATTATGTCTACCTCCAACATTTTACATAAATTTTTAAATTAGTAGTCCTCATTTCCCCAAAATATATCTTTATTTTTAAAAAAGAAACACAGGAAACAAAAATAAAGGTTTTGGGTTTTCTCTTGCCTCCCCCAACACCTATGTCCGTGGCAAAGTTTTACCTGTAAATAAAAAATAAACTCAATTAGAAATGGACTATTGTGTGGAAGATGTAAGGCAGATAATGTTTTATTTTACCATCACCGCAAGTCCGTAGGTGTTGTAGAAGTTCCTCTGTTGATGGTGCAGGAACTCCGGACAGCAAACCATAACGCCTTGGATCCTCGTCGAGGAAGACCTTTCTTGCTTGTCAAACGTCGGTCAGTTGCTTCTGGGATATTACAGTCATGAACTGTATCCTCAATGTTAATTTCTTGCAGAGTCTCAAGTTGTAATGTTTTTTGTAATGCTGCTCCAGTCCTGTGAACAAAAGCTTTTTATTAACTATGCGCTATTGCAGTTTTATAGAATGTTAAACGAAAAGAATTACCTTATGTGTATATAAGGTGTGTAGTCCTCATCACCGCTGTCATCAGTACCGCTGTCCATCTCGATGGTTTCGTCCTCCTCTGAAGACGAATCAACTTCTGGTTCTCTGTTTGGTGACCATGTGTCATCTGATGACTATCATGAATATACACAATATAAAGTTTTTAGTATGGAAAATTAGACACATTTTATTAACATCGGAATACTTACACAGAGTTTTGAATATTGTTGAACTCTTCCTCGTCAATGTTTGCTTCAATTCCCACACAAGATAACCTAAAAAAGTAATTATTGTTTACTTTTCCTGACAAATGTGACAGCCAAATACAGATACAACCTTGTACTTTAATTTGTGAAGATCCTTCTTTTTTAGTTTCACCTTGTTCCATCACCTCCTCCAAATTATCATACCTATGAAAATAAAATACAAGCACAAGAATATGATTAGAATCAATACATATTTTGTCATTTTGAAGGTAATAGACCTCGTCTATTGGCCGTCATCATCACCCTCTCCTTATTTTTCTCCCTCTACTTATTACGCATTTCTCTGTATCCACTGAATTCCTTCTTTACAAATAATTTCCTGTCTCTCTCTTTACATTTTAAAAACACAATTGTGTTATTTTTTTCTCATAAACTTTAAATAAAGATATAATTTTTTAAAATATGTTTAATTTTGTTGTTGTGAAGTGCCTCAAGAGTTTTATTTTGAGAGGCGCTATATAAAATGTAGTTTTACTATTTATTTCTATACATTCTTTATAGTCATTCATTATCCCATTTCTAGAATTTTTTCAAAATAATCCACCACTAACTTAAAACAAACAGAGGCAAAATTATAATATTCCTGGTAGAGGTTTTTACGCAGCTATTTACCTTTCAGATGACTCTCCATGAATGCTAGACAGAGCTGGCACTGGTGTTGGAGAAATACACAGTTGGCGTTTCAGTGGTGTAGATGTTGATGCTTCATATTTGGACTGATGACTGTAAAAAACAAAGCCCAAAAATTAGTGATCACAAGCTAAACAAGTCTCCCCAGCCTTCACAGATTTTTGCACGAGCTGATTATCATTACTTTTATTTTAATATGGAGTTTTCACGTAGGTAAGACCACAAACTCGGACAGTAATCTGTACACGTGGCCCACCCAGGTTAGCACAATAAGTCTTTCAGTGCTAATGGAAACGTAAGGTTTTGGATACGTTCCTGATCAATCACACCTAATTCATCTCCTCAGACTTCTACAAGTGCTACATGAGCTGCTGATTACTCATTTTAATCAAACACGCAGCTCAGGAAAGTGTAAACACCTAATTCAGCTTTCAAGATGCTAACTGAACCCCGCTAACGGGGAAGTTATAAACAAGAGCTTAAAACAATATACTGATGTGGCCTATAGTTAAACACCACACTAATCATTAGCTCCCATATATAAAAAAAAACTAAAATCCCCTTTCGTTACTCAAACTTCTTCCAAATGTAGCATAAATAGTTCGAATAGCATGGATTCATGTCGA